TGTCGGCAATGGTAAATAGCTTTGAGGCAAACCGTTTACAAACCTTCTATGTATTGATTGGGATTAGGTTAGGTCTAAAGAGAGTAACAGGAGTGATGATGGTATTTTTACCTCCATGAAAATGGAGGTATTGTTTTTGGCGCGTCTCTGTGTGTATGTGTGTGTGTGTGTGTTTGTGTTTCCGCACATTTGTACCTTCATAACTCCATAACGCCTTTATGGATTGTGATGATATTTGGTATGGTGGTAGGTCTTAGGAGGAAGAAGGTCAAGGTCAAATATGGGCCTCCTGGTGGATGGCCTTGGTACTGCTGCAGCACTTCCGATTTGTGCTGCCAGGGTAACAGATGTGTCTTTGTCGAGGCAGCGCGCTAATGAGGTTCTCCCTCAAGGGAATAGGCGACCCATTTCTGAGGCTTAGGGTTTGAGGGCTGTGTGTTTGCAAACATAAACCTGTTATTTTGTTCTTAACTGTAGTTTACTGTGTAAAAACATTTACAAAAACTCATATTTCATGGAGGTGTATAAGATCTCCGAATTCTTGTTTTGTTCTTTACTGTACTTTACTGTGTAAAAACATTTACAAAAACTCATATTCCATGGAGGTGTATGAGATCTCCGAATTCTTGTTTGCAAATGTTGTTGTTTCTGGACAGTAATGAGTGAGAGCCTTTTATGTTTTCTGTACACGAGTACAGATGTACTGCAGAAAGTATACAAGTTTTAAAGTTTCATTTTAAAGGCATCAATGCTAAGTTTTGTTTCAAAATGAATGTGATTTTGCACCGGTTGTAGTTGTTAATTTTGAAGGTGTAGTATTGTAACAATTATGTTATAAGTATTTCAGAATATGTAACGTTTTACTATTGGTGATGTCGCGGTTGTATTTTGCAAATTAAGTTTAACTTAACTATCGTTGAAGAGGTTCACCTGTCACGTAAGATTAACCATATCTAGACCGGGCTTTTTTGGGTTTTGTGGGACCCCCCTCAGATCTCGCGAACAGTATATCTTATGACCACCAAATGTTCTGACGTTGGTGTACTATTAAACATTTATCAATGGTATGCAACGTGACTTTAACAAAAAGTGTTTATGATAGAATATTAGGGTGCACTAAGACTTATGTTGCCCATAGCAACACCAGTGACGTCATAAAATGACGTCATGCATATTCAAGCTATCCGCCATCTACATGTATCCGCCAAATTACCATTTGATTTGTTACCATTATAACAGTTATCAATTAATTTTGTCCGGGGAAGATCCCGAATAAGCCATTATGGCTTTTTATCTTCCCCTGCATATCCCTTTTTATTGTAATATGTTCATTTAATTGTTTTCTTTACAATCATTATATACGAAAAAACAAACCAACAAACAAACAAACATTGTGATTTAATCGACATTTATACGGCCAGGATAAGGGAAAAAGGGGAAAAATAAAATATTTGTACATGTATTTGACATTTAGATCATTGGTCTTTGTAAGATCGTGTGGATCACTCAAAGATCATTTTAGGACCTTGAAGGCCAAGGTGGTACTATACCCAATAGTAAATATATAAATTCGGCTAACGTAAACTACCGGACCTCAGTCTACCTGTGACTACCGTGGTGGTAACATAGGCAGATACCTTGCTATGACAGTGAACAAGGCGAGTTTCTCTTCAAGATATTCTAAAATGTGCAGAGAACAGACAATGAATTGAGGGTACTATTATAAGAAGTTATCCTCACCTAATCCTGAATATAAGGACAGATAGAACTGGCTTGTCAAACCCTGTCTGGTAGTGTCAGATCCTTGGTCAGACATTGGCTTGCACTTACTTGTACAGTTCTAACAGAGTTCCACTCTACATGTATACTGTTTTCGTAGACTACCAAATGGACAACACAATTAGAAGACATGTTTCTAGACACGCTTAGTTACTGTCAATACAAATTCAGCTGTGAGGAAGCTTCCTGTCTTAAGACATTTTCAAGTTACAAATATAACGGTTAGATAGTGTGTCTACAATTAGACACTTTTGATAGGGCTGTTATAACTAGAAATTTGAACACAGGGTTAATTTTCCGGAGACTGGAAGCTGCTGATAGTAATTTCTTAATTGTTACAATCATCTGTACCGTTTAGCATAGTTTGGTAAGGTTACTTCCCTGCATGAATGTACGGATTTCCGACTTGGAAATTTCTGCACACGCGGCCGGAAATTCCGCATTTTCCGGGAGTTTCCGGGCACGTGTCACCTGCACACTGCAGATGCACACGTCCCGGAAATTCCCGGAGATGCACCACTTGTGTGTGCAGGGATTTCCTGGTCCCGGAGATCTCTGCACACGCGACCTGTTAATCCCTGCACACGTCCCGGAAATTGTTGACGGATTTGATTGGCATATGCATAATTTAGCATTAATTATCACCTAAGTATCCGCCCGGTCACGCCACGTCGTAGCCACCGCTCCCCCTCCCCCAAATATATTAAAGCGATTTCCTTTATATTTCTATTCACATACGAATTAATATAATAATATAATTAAAATAATTACTAAACTATATTGTCAAATCTCATTCACGCATAGAATATTACTGACTCAAAATATGATTTTTATTTGCAATTTTTATATCTTCATTATCCCAAAGTCAAAGAGCTTTTATACAGACTTTCAAGACACAAAGACAAAGACATCTGATTCGGTCTATAATTCCCTATTTCATGCACGAGCAATGCAAACAAATTCAATTCCAGTGAGATTAAACAGACCTCTGATCAGAAAACAAGATCTCTTCTTACAAAATTACATCAGCACCATGTTACAGATTGGTTGGTGGTATCACGTGATTATATGTAAGACTCACCAAATGGAGGTAACGTCATGTGTTTATGGGCCTGAATTCTCCTCCTAGCTCTGATTGGCGGATATGTCTCCGCCAATGACATATAGTAGGTTACCAGGTAATCTTATTTTTCAAATAACTTTGTTAATATTTTTAATATCTTGGCGGATGGGGTGTTGGGACTTTGGCGCACGGATATGTCAACCTTGTGTATTTAAATGACAACTGTACTTTTTTGTTATGTGGCGCTGTTAATATAAGTTACAAACTTGAGTGCAGCGTCACACTGTCCTTGTTATGTTTTCATGTTTTGATGAATAAAAAAAATGAAAAAAATGGAGGTACCCCAGATCTAAGAGCTGATTGGTCGCATGGTAGTAACAGTGTTTAACCCCGATTTTTATCAAATGTACCAATCACATATGTACGTTTTCTAAAAACTTAACAAAATGGTTCTTTTTATGCCACTAGTTGTGTCTATCTACGGATATATGTATGCATTTGATTAGAAATATAGTTCATTGCATCTATTTTTAAGACTCGGCCCCTCGGATATGAATGGTTCCTCCCGAATGGTGGGTGTCTTATTTTGTTAAAGACACCATAGAGCTGTGACTGATACCTTGCCGAGTCGTTTCTACCCTAAACCAACAGTTATTGTCTTACAGTTAACGTTAATTCCGGGGACATTTTCGCCAAAATCTACGGTCAGTACAAAATGTCTTTTTTAACAGCTTAGTATTTGCCTCTACGATGCAATCTAGTCAAAAATTGCTCTCGGGTACTGGTGTAGTGCTTAACGCAAATCATACAATCATATGAAACATTTATGTTTTGAGTAAATATATCTTTCTTTAATCATTATTTGCTTCTTAAGCAGAGCGTATGATGTGTGGGTCGTGTTAATAATATAGTGCAAAACACACAGTATCAGGATCATAAACAGAATTTTTTTTCAAAAACATGGTGTCCGCTAAAACCTGCTCGTAATCCGATGCAAATCGGGCTAAGCAGTATATACCATGATGATACTAAAGGTAAATTTGTGTTACTGTTGTAGTAAATTGTGTTAACACCACTACACGCGAAGCCATGGGGCAACTCACACGTTAGCAAAAGGCAGGCTAGCTGAAGTATGAAAAAATAAGTACCTTAGCGCTAATTAGTCTGGGTTTAACTGAATGTTAACGCGTTCATAGAATGTTCGCGTAGGCTTTTTTTCTTTTGCTCGTTCGGTAGAAATTATTCGGGCATAGAGGAGTTGAGGAGTTGTTGCATTCCAAAACATGTTATTCCATCATCTTCAGTACCCCCTAAACCCCGCATGGGGGGGGGGGGGGGGCGCTCGTCACTGAATGCCATCCAGTAGATTTCTAGCGGTGACCGACTTATGAATAATTAATCAAGGCCCACGGAGTAGCCAATTACCACTGATTCGGTGGCACACGCTGGCCGAAAACACGTCCTTCACGCCCATTGTTCGTCGATATATATAAAGGGGTTATACTTTACAAAGAGAATTTTTGTAGGACTTTCAATACTTTAGCTTGCCGAAGGTGTATTGAGAACGGTTATCTTCATAATTCTGCTGTTCGTAGAAGAACGACACCGTAAAACAGTTTTCTATACCATCACGGTTTAGCAGATAACACACAATGACGACTACTTTTTAAGCAGATTGTAGCACTGCGTAATGCTACACAAACTAACAGTAGATGTTTTCAAAGAATTCACAGAAATGACAATGATAGATCATGTGACGCAGAAACAGAAGTACGAGGCTTTAAAAAATCATGTTTTGGAATGGATCATGTTTTGGAATGCAACAGGCATTCCATTTCGTGTTATTCCAAAATATGTTCTGGAATGGACCACGTTTTGGAACGCAGGTGCATTACTGCTTCGTTTTTTTCCAAATCAAGATTTGGAATGTAACGCGTTTTTCGATGCAACATGGGCCTTGTAAAACAATGAAAGACATATTTGAAAACTGTCCCAGAAAAAAATCCCAACGTGTCCATATGTATCTATCCAGATATCCTTGATGTCTCCTGATATAAAATGAATATTTATACTATAAGTAGATTAGATCTTCAACGGATAGAGAAGTAGAGAATAAAAATAGTAATAATTGTTTTCTACCTCTGATAGAAAAGCCATAATGGAGATGGGAGTTCCAAACGCTAAGAACGAAGATCATCAGTATGCATCAAACATCCCTGGTGACCAGCCTCCTAACAACTTGCAACACCCCAATCCGATGTACCCTTCACACACACAGGACGACACAGATCCTGTACACCAACAGAATAGTCAAGACCCCAATCCGATGTACTCTTCACACACACAAGACGACACAGCTCCTATGCACCAACAGAATACCCAATACCACAATCAGATGTACACTATACATACACAAGACGACACAGATCCTATGTACCAACAGCATACTGAAGACCCAACTATGATGTACACTTCACATACACAAGACGACACAGATCCTATGCACCAACAGAATACCCAATACCACAATCAGATGTACACTATACATACACAAAACGACACAGATCTTATGTACCAACAGCATACTGAAGACCCAACTATGATGTACACTTCACATACACAAGACGACACAGATTCTATGTACCGACAGAATACCCAAGACCCCAATCCGATGTACACTTTACATACACAAGACGACACAGATCCTATGTACCAACAGAATACCCAAGACCCCAATCCGACGTACACTTCACACACACAAGACGACACAGATCCTATGTACCAACAGCATACCCAATACCACAATACCGAACCAGCTTCCCGGTCTGCTAGTAGTGAAGGCAACATCTTCAACCGGCCGTCTGCAGGTAGATATATGGCAAACAAAGAAACATCTGTTAAGACAGCTTACAGTGATGACGACCCCTACATCCAGCCATATGCAACTTACCGTGGTGAAGAAGCTGATCGTGATGACAGTGAGATAAACCCAACACGTCACTCACGTCAGACTGAAGCTCACTCTCCGGCATCTGTCAGTGAAGACAGTAATGTACAAGGAACTCATCCTCCCCAAATTACGGGCCGTCCCCGGCCGATGCACGTACAGAACCAACCACATCTGAGAATCATTCCACAACAACCACCCTACGGTAAAGATTTGTCTGTTTTTTCTAAAGCTTTTCAACTCTTTTCAACTGATAATTTAATTTCAAGACCAAAACCTACGTCCGTGTTACGTTTTTTTTAATTACATCGTTTTACTAATACTTGCTGCATCATATTATAGCTCTACACTACAGCTAAATGGTAATATCTAGCACAGATCCAACACTTAACTCAGTGTACAGTGGATTATAAGTTGTACAAAGATTATTGTGACCCCACCCCACAGTAAGATTTGTCTGTTGTTTTTTTCAACTCTTCTCAACTGATTAATTTGTTTATTTCAAGACCAAAACTTGCGCCAGGGATATGAATTATATCGTTTTTACCAAGAGGGTTTTAGTTGAACTGAAACCTACTTGTTTCTACTAATTGCATAATAGTATAGATCTAAAACCGGATGTTCATTTCTTGGCAACAACTGATACTGTTCAGATAACGTTTGGTTATTTTTTCGCGACGCTAATGTAATCAGTCTGCAAATATTCTATGAATTTTACAGAAATGTGCCGTTAATATTTCCTGTGGTGCTTATCAGTATTGATAAGATGTATGCTGTATGAGATCAGGGTTGTTCTGCATAATTAATGAGGAAATCGTATAATAATACGTAATAATTAGTTAATTACGGCAACTAGTAATACATACTTGTGGCAGTTGAAACATTATTAATTCATACTATTAATTATACATGCATAATGTAAATCAGGGACACTTTCGGAAGATAAGTCTCTCAAAGTTTATACAAATGGTGGTAGTAATATTTGGGTAGAACATGATATGATTGTTGCAAATGAGGACCTTATTTTCATATTCTAAAAGGAAACCTTTAGAACTGAAGGATCATTATGATTTTTATATGTGACGATTGCTATGATCAGCAAATATGTAGATTATGCAACTTTTGACTTAGTTTGCATAATTTAACAGGGAATTGTATGGATAAGCTGCGTTCCATTATAGAACATTCAAACATGATTAATTTAGGAAGAAACGGCCATTGATGGGAATTGATCATAAAATACTATAGTAAAATATTGCTAAATGACAAGAATGTCATATTTGACGTACTTGGATTAATTCACCAAAATCATATCAGATAAAAACGCATGAAAATAAAATTATCAACACCTTAAAGTACTATGTAATTTTTCAGGATGGGCATGCCGTAAGGAGGGAATCGTAGCTCTTACAGCTGTCCTTCTGGTGGCATCGACTATTGCCGGGATCATCACGGCTCCAGTTTCAATATTCAAAATGGTAAATATTTCAGAACATTTTAGGACGTTTTTAACTATCTGCAGGTGGAATGATTGTACATATACTATATATTTTTACTTAGGTCTATTCAAACGTTTCTGAAAGCATTTTTTGCGGCGAATTTTCCGTCAGATATTCACTATCACATTTTCTTTAGAACATATCAGGTTTCGGCACTACCTACACCTTTGGTTACCCTTTCGTGGACACTACCTACACCATTGCTCAACCTGCTGTGGACACTACCCACACTACTGGTCACCCTTCGGTGGACACTAGCTACACCACTGCTCACCCTGCCGTGGACTCTACCTACACCAATGGTCACCCTGCCGTGGACTCTACCTACACCACTGTTCAACCTGCAATGGACTCTACCTACACCACTGCTCACCCTGCAATGGACACTACCTACACCACTGCTCACCCTGCAATGGACACTACCTACACCACTGCTCACCCTGCAATGGACACTACCTACACCACTGCTCACCCTGCAATGGACACTACCTACACCACTGCTCACCCTGCAATGGACACTACCTACACCACTGCTCACCCTGCAGTGGACACTACCTACACCACTGCTCACCCTGCAATGGACACTACCTACACCACTGCCCACCCTGCAATGGACACTACCTACACCACTGCTCAACTTGCCTACACCACGCCATTCGTCCACACAGGTATGTTCTGTACAGTCTTATCATCAACAAGTGGAATCCATGAGCTGATGTCTGCCTTTATCTCGTTATTATCTTTGCCAAGAAAGCTATGTTTTCGGTAGGATGTGTGGAGACAAGATAACTCGAGAAGTCTATTATACGATAGACTGGTTGGAATTATTTGGTAGGTTACATTTTGGGTCTACATTAGGTTTATATGGAAATGCTAATATAATGATAATAATAAGATCTCGAATTTTAGATGGAAGATAGATCTTGGGCTCGAGTGATGCTAACATTAATTAAATGACGAAAATGTGATTTATGGTCTACTTTCCATAATAAATAATTTTTTTTTTAAATTTGTGACATATTGTGATATTCTGTTTGTAAATGCAGTCCCAATTTGCATATTTAAAGAGTAAATGCTATATTATCATCACTACCATATTGATAGCCGCCGAAAAGCTAATACTTGCGGCATTTCGAAGGCAAGTGAAAGTGAACATCGCTATACGTATTAAAATCATGACCTTATTTGCATAAATAGAGAAAATGTGAGAATTCTTCGTTTAGATATGACTGTGATTTGGTGGAAAGTATGATAAAATATTATAATACACATTCAATTTGTTATTTTGAAATTATTTTAACATAATGTATGAGCTTGTGGGACTCAAGATTCTTTTATATTATTCTCCTATATTTGTAAGTAACTTAATTCACACTTTTGCCATTGAAAACTGTTGCAGGTTGAATATTTTAATATAATGTACGTTGAGTGTCAGAGTAGCTACATGTTGCCATTGGATAACTGAACTTTCTAAGAATTAAATTTCATTTTAACAGAAGGCGTGAGGTTGAAGTCCGAGAAGGTCACCTTCATCAGTAACGGATTCGACTGGACCCAGTCATTTTGTGGTATAGCATTCGGAGTGGCCGTATCTGCTGACAATGAGATATTTTTGCCTGATAGTGTCTACCAGCAAGTCAAAGTCTTCAACATGGAAGGGGTCTTACTTCGCGTATTCCCAACGGTAGTGCCTGGTAAAATTAAAAGCAACATACGGATGTCCCCTGTCGATGTTACCATTGACGAGAGTGGTTATCTGTGGGTTGTGGGCTCAGAGACGGGGTGGCCGTCCAAGTTGGTATACGTGGTTAAATACAGTCACAAAGGCCGGCCGATTTCCTCATTTCACATCCCGTCTTCTTCTACTCGCCCTACCATTGCCGTGTCCAATAACAACATCCTTCTGTCTGCCAGGCCTAAACTAGTGCACATCTTCTCCACAGATGGAAGGTTACACAGGGCTTTCCAATCTTTTGGCCGTCGTTACTTAAATTACATCACATCAGACAGTAAAGGACATATCATCGTTGCCGTCTGGAATGGTAAAATACGTGTTTACAATCGTGATGGGCGTCTGCTTCTCCAGTTCAGTGGTGGAGGCTCAGAGAAAGTAGAGCCGTATTCCCTCAGGGCTATTCGTACGAACAGCTTGGACCAAATCGCCGTGGCGAACTTTAAAAAGCACCGTGTAGACATGTTCACAAGCCGCGGGGAGTTTATCCGTACCGTCGTGAACACACCCAGACCAACGGGGATCGCTATAGGACCGGAGGGACAGTTGGTGGTGACTAACGATTATAATAGCACAGTAACCATTTTTCCGCGCCAGACTGTAATTCCATAGACGATACACGTGACCTCATGTCCGCTCGCTTAGCCACTCGACGTCACTTTTTTTTATTACCTGTTTTGTTAAGTCCCTAACAAACATATAGAGTGCACGATAGGTGAGATTGTCTCAACAGAACGCTTGCATAAGATTCTCCGCTGACTTCCCACCATGTAAAAGCGACAAAAACAATTTTAATCTTTCAAGTTTTTATATGCTTTGAGTCACCGTCACCCTATTTTTGTTTCCAATTATTTTATAGTGAGGTTCAATTTTCTTTCTTTTCTCTTATCATTAATTTTAGAGTATTATATTAATAATTCTTTTGAATAATGTTACGTTGATGTTTTACTGTTACTATACATGTACTGATATGAGCTCTGATGGTCTCTCATGTTTTTGTTTGAAACCCATGTAGCCACACGGCCCATTTAAAACCACCAACGCGGCGATATGTGGTTTCTCGGCTAAACAAAGAATACATGAAAAATGAAATTGTAAGAATACATGATAAATGAAATTGATGAATTGTTGTTCAGTTGTTGAGTAATTGTATAACTCTTAATCTGCTTCAATCCTGCCAAAGGTGATGATATATTGCAATTAATAGCATTAGCAATGTTAGCATTGTATTAGCGATTATAGTTGATCCAAACTGAATTAAAAAATATGTTTATCGTTTCAATTATTTTTAGAATCAATGGAACTGCAAGTATATGTATAGTGACTGTCGTAAGTTCTTCTATAACCACAGAATCACATGTCTGAAGTAAATGCGATAATAATATATATTTTAAATGTAACATAATCACAAGTTATATGAGCATATGACTACATGCTGGTTGTAACCGCACAAGGGGCAGTACATGGAGTTCAGAGGTGGTAAAAGTTTTGGCTGCGGACACGCATTACAGGTGATAAGGTCTAGGAAAGAGGCTACTAATTAACAGAGAACTAATTGTTTTTGGTCTTTCTATATGTTTTAGGAGTTCACTGTTAAGTGTCCCGTTCACTGTAAACTGGAACTGATTTTTAATATTTACATAATTTATATTATTCATATTTATAATATTACGATTGTAATATTAGTCAACAATCTACATTATCTGCATAGTCAATCGTTTACATAATTTGCATGGGAGAAACTTGTAAATTATTCACGAAGGTATGAGTTCTTCAATCTCCTGTTGATGTTAAGTCTTTTCTCAGAAACCACATAGTTTACCCTGTAGAAAAATTCAGTCTAAATTAGAGCTAAATGTCTGTTAAGAAACAACAATAGATTGTATAAAAGTGTGAGAAAGCGTAATAGTTGCAGTTTTCTGTCTTATTTCATGACTACGTGCTATATAACTTATAACTATTTAATCATTTTGGGGTGGGTTTTCATTAACTTTATGTTCATCCCATTTCCTGTGTCTGACCTTTTAGCCTTCTGTCATGCTGCCTGTCAATCATCCCTCCCCTTGTGCTGCCAACCTAGTCTGTCCAGACAGTCAACGTAACAATTGCCCTGTACCCAATATAATTAACTACATGTACACGGGCGATTTTGTTAGCTAGTCTAGAAATTAAAGGCACTCGAAGCGATTTCAGGGCGAAAAAACTTGATTTTCAAACTCCCGTCATGCCACACGAAACCACCCTCTCTCTCTGTTTGTCGTCCAAACCGATCCAGTAGTCCCTGGAAAAAAAGTCAACATTTTCTGATATGCGCCAAAAAGCAGTTACTCAAGCAACTGGATATGTATGTTGAAATCATATCCAAAATCATATCCAGTTGCTTGAGTAACTGCTCAATAAATCATATCTTGAGTAACTGCTTTTTGGCGTATCTTATTACCTGGATGTCTAACCTTCATCCACGTATTTTCTGATATGTTATCTTATCTTTACTCTAAGCCATAATACGTAGTTCAGTGAAAACTGTGAAAAATCCAACACAAGCACAAACCTTGTTTGTGTGTATATGTTTTGTTAAACCTTTACTGCCTGTTGAAAAAGTTGATAATAAAGTTGTGGCGCAGGTAAGTCTGTTTTTCATGCTTTTTAAATGTTTGACGCATATCAAGAAAAATAAAAATCATCTAACATATCAATCCCAATCACCAGATCGTGTTTATTACATACACTTACACATGTACACACAAGCACACCATTACAACATACATTTGTATTTTTCTATCACCGTATTATGTATTAGTATGATTATGACACTAGCCTACTTACATATACGTACCATTGTTATCCATATAAATTCAACTCTCACAATTTACAGTAGTACGGTTAAATATTTAAAAAAAGCGATACAGCATGGCGTATTTAATTTGTTTTTAGCTCGGGTTATTATTCACCAAAACATTAGCTTGGAAAAATCAAAAGTGGTGTATCTCTATTTCGGAATCAAATTTGTGTATATACACCTTAAAAAAGCTTACATAATGTAGCATGATCTCATATTGCTAGCGAGAACTACCACAAGAGGTTGGAAAAATACAGACGGTTTCTTAATCTCCCTTTGACCTTCACGCTGACTTCCCAGCATGCCCAGTTCTAGCCAATCAACATGGCGGCGACGACCACTGCGCATGCTTCCACGAGGAGAGAAACCATGTCCACGGTGTGAGCTGCTGGGGACCGGTCACGAACTATGAGAGAAAAGACCCAGGTATCAGCGGAAACCTTCTAACACAGGTGTGTTTCAAGAAGAAAAATGCGACACAAATGTGAATAGCGTCTTATAAGGTGGTCAGAAACACCACAGGCGACTCAGACACACCCATTGCTACCAGCTACCTATTGGGACCAAACGCTTCCTGAACAGCCCTGTCCCAGCTATGCTGAAACCGTTGAACTCAATGTAACTCCTAACAAACCGGTTTAATAGCATTTTAGGCTACATTAACTGTTAATTATGAACGAGTCTTAAAGATCTGAGTACTAGTACCAATGAGGACATATCAAATTCTATTTTTACTGTAGCGTTTTAATCACCTTTCGATAAATTAATCTTTTTGAAAATTAGTACATTTAGTATGGCTTATTTAAGATTTTAAACAATGGTCTCTTTTTATTTCTATGTGTGTAGACAGCTGTGTGCTGCATTTGTAATCGTGATTGTAATTGTATTTTGTAACCAGACCCAACAATTCAGCCGAGTGCATTTAGGCTACCAGTGGGTCCTGGGATTTATCTGTTCAACAATAAATCAGTCTATTTATTGAAAAAAAAAACTCATACAGAAGACAACTTGCTTACAAGTACCCAGGTCATTATGCTGTATGTAGATGTATACAGAGAAATTTTCTTACCGGTTTGTTCATCTTTTAGGACGATGGGACCCTGGATCAGCCTGTAGACATCGGAGTCGTCTGCGGCCTCCCTCCTCCTCCTGCCCGCCTGACAGCCCTGCGCGCACCGGGAGTTCGGGTCCGCGGCGTTACACAGGAGGATGTCACAGTGGATGTACACCTAAGCATATAGGTACAATGTGCAAAACGTTTAAATGAAGTTTGTGTAAGACGTTTTGCTAGCTTTATTCTGGCATACAGCTACCATCCTCCCATGGCTGTTCCACCAATCAGATACTGTGCACCGTTTTTTATTGTTGCTAACAAATCACGTCGCCGCCTACGATCAAGAGGCAACGTGATTGGCTGGTTGGCTCTAATGCAGTGAGAAGGATGAATCACAGGACGGCACGCCCTAGCAGAGGACCTGACGATTGGATAATGGTACCTACATTCAATCTGGCAACAAGGAAGCCTGCTTTGTTACTAATGCGCCGGTCATATATGTACTTTTACGTGACTTACCGTGCGTGTACCGCTGGTAAAGGCGAAGGCCTGGAAACCGAACCGTTCCTGCATTGTGGACGGCGACCAATAGCGAGCCACCGTAGAGTCCTGGTCACAACTGTGAACAATTGATTGGATGAGAGGAGAAACACTGATTTAAGATACAGAAAAAAAGAAATTCATACTACAAAACTGAAAACTCGACTCTGAATCTAAAGGTCCCGGGTTCGAGTCCTGACATGCCACCGATCTTGTGCCCTTGGGAAAGGCACTTTACACGACTTTCCTCACTTAAGTGAAAATGAGTATTGTCCTGTTCCGTATTTGTCTTCTATGTTGGTGACGGTATATAATAAGTTGATAATTTGAGTGTGCCGTCCAGTGATGAAATGTTGGAATAAAAAAAAAACAAAAAAAAAAAAACTGAAAACTCAAGATAACACTCACCCGTCCCTTATGAGGTGGTACAGCACGTTGCTGTCGTCTGGCTGTTCTGTAGGCGTGGCCATGCAGCTGTCCACGAACAGCTGCAGGCTAGTGTCGTCTGATGTCACCTTCAGCTGTACGTACAGCATCTGACAGAAATACGAGTGCCCCATACCAGAGTTAAATGTCTGTGTGCGCATGTGTGTGTGTACATGTATGTGCTTGTGTGCGTGTCTGTGTGTGTATGTCAAGTTGTGTGTGTGTGTGTGTGTGTGTGTGTGTGTGCGTGTGTGTGTGTGTGTGTGTGTGTGTGCGCGCGTGCATGCGTGTTTGTGTGTGTGTGCATTTTCATAGCAAAACATTTCACAAAATAAAGAGTACTATCCCTGCTTACTTTGCTATCAATACATGGTTTTATCAAGTACTAGTTAAAATTCATATGTTTTGGGTAGCTTGAATACCTGTCCCAACTCCGCGGACATTGGATACACCGATACAGGGGACCGGAAGTTGTTACTCAGGTACAGATCCATAGAGATGATGAATTCACCCCTGCCGACGATGTATGACCGGAACACGGACAAGTTCTGGGGGTCAAAGTTGACAGTGACCGTCTTTCGGCGCGGCAGACGACACTCCACGCTGATCTCTGTGAAGTGATGACGAGTGATTATCATACTGGAAGCGTTGACTTTGATGGTCAGGGTGTTTCTGTAGATGATGTAATCTTCTGTGTCCTTTTGAAAAGAAAACAACATAACGTTATGTTGCTACGCTGAAAGATGAATCTACAGTTGTTTCAGTTGTTTTAGTAGCATAGCTTTATATTTTCATAATGTAAACTATATAGTTTATATATAAATCTAGCATGTGTAATAATATATTTATGCTTAGGTTTGTCTCCTTTTGTTTATAATTACTATCAACACTATTGGTAATAGCATTTTCTTTTTAGGCTCTTTCAGTTGCAAAATTACAGCTGCATCTAGCGTATGTGGGCAAAAACTTGCAACAAAGATCAATTATTTTATATCATTTTTATTAAAAAGATACATGTATTAAACAACAGTAAAACTCATATAACCTCTATCATTAGATTTGAAGACATTTTCTTGGGACATTTTGATGTTTTAACTTAACGTTGACAAACCTGTCGGCTTGTTCCGCATGCCGTGAGCGGTGCATCGATGTAGATATGGGTGGAGTTCTGATCAGCACTGCAAGGTGGCGCTGCTAGCTGGACGTCTTCCAGCTGAATGGAGTTGTTTTCAGGGCGGGAGAAACTGACCCGGATGTAGTTGGATGTGCAGGTCACTTGAGCTCTGATGGCTGAGAGATAAAATTTTATCGAATAGGAAAAAAAAACCTATACATAGTATAAAAGCTATAGGTATGATTATGAATAAGCAAATTTAATTGAGTTGTAAAATATAAACAACGAATTTACATGGGAAGGTTTAAAAATTACGCAAAAGAGTAAACAAAGCTTTATTCAAAGTCTCATTCATGTGTTTTTTCGTTACATTGCGACCCATGCATTAATGCCTGTTGTTCAAGACCGATTTTCTAATATTCCTAGAGTAAATCTATTCACCAGTTTCCCATCCCCAGAATGCAATGCGAAAACAGGGGTCTAAACTCATTTGCATAGGACAGGGCGACATCGGAATGATCCTGGTGACGTTAAACAGTTTGTTTTTCACAGTGTTTTGAGGTGTTGGGGCATTTTGTGCTCAACATTAATTAGATTACTATGGGCGAATCTGACAACAAATAGACAATTCAGTTTTTGTGTTCTTTTCAACATGGAACATGTGGTTTGTAACGTTGCAGCATCAGTATAGCGTTACCACTGTAACGTTACATACCAAATATTAAAAAAAATTCATTCTCTATTTGTTGTCAGATTTAACCCATAGTGATTTAAATAATTAATCAAAGGAACATACAAGGTAAGAAATAAGATGAAAGATCGTTTCAGGTTTAAAAGTTTTGCAGACATGTCATCTTACCTGAAAGTAGGGAGTGTGATATTCATACTACTAGTATCGTAAAGAATCATTACAATATTAAAGGTCACCCACGAATACGACAATAGCTTTGATTCATGTTTCATGTCCACAACAAAATGATAAGCGTACATGTAGTGACCAGAAAATAGTTTTTATTTGTGATATTGTGATTTTTTTTTGTTAGGAGGTGTTCACGTAAAATGGGCCTGAAAACCCGGTTTGGCTCTGATTGCGGGTGACCCCAGATCGAACGCCGTTCGGTTCGAATGACGTCATATCGAACACCGTTCGAATGACGTCATATCGAACACGATTAGGGTTCTAAAGCAGGTGGGGACATTGGGGCCCGAATTTTACCACCATGATATGCTTTATCATGTTACAGTATTTAAACAGGAACTTCTTACCTGGAGAGTCATCATGTTTCGGTTGTCCTGCACAAGCCAGGCACATAGCATTACTATAGTGTAGACGGCCATCGCTGCATTCAAAGTCAACAGGCGTGCAGGGTCCCCTAACTATACGGTCCACAGCATCATGTAAAGAAGACGCATGGATTTGTCCGGCTCTGGGCACAATAAACTTAGGGGCTGTAGATGAGTACGTTGTTACGTTTTCAACATCCATATAGTAGTAACTCAGGTAATAAAATTCCACTGGGTGCCAAAAATTTCTGAGATCCCTAGATCTAGAGATGGTGCCGTTTGACAATCTGTAGGCTCCCGTCGCAAGTACCCCCGAAAACCCCAGATTTCTGCATGCAAGATCCGCCAAAGGCACCCGTTTAGTCTCCACGAGATACGCAACATCCCATCCCCGCACAGGTCCCCACTGTTGGGTGACGTTATCGTACAACTCCACACAGCCGTAAAACTCTCCCCCCACCAGCCGGATTCCGTTGGACTCGTCTGTTACCATGGTAGCGTTGTTCAACCGACCTGAGATGCACAGAAAATAGAAAAAAACTAGATATGACCAGAAAAAAATTATTAAAAAGCATACATGGAAATATATGCCCACGCATAAATATAGCTGCGGGAAGTTGGTGTTAGTGAATATCATATGTTTGCTAGGATATGTTGGCTATGTAGTTTTTTTTTTTTAAATTTCGGCGCATGCACATGTATTAATACGGTATCTACCCTTCTTTCTTTGTTTCTTTCTTTCTTTGGTAGTTTGGTAACACTGCAGGCCTGGTTCTGGTTATTATGGGTTCACCACACCACGAAGTGGTGGTGAACCCATATTGCTTTTTCTTATGTTTCTTCTCCTCCTTCTCCTCCTTCTCCTGCCATATCTTTAAATGGATTCAGCTTCTTCATTTTAGGGCCTAAGGTCCTGAAATTTGGTATGGAGGTACAGTGGGCAAATACCCCTAGGCGTTTTTTAAATTTTTGTGATACAGGCTTTTAGAATGGTTTTATTTGAGTTTTTTGGCTGTGTTATAGCAAATGTATTACTGTGTTAGTGTGCCGTGTTTACCACGTCTGGGCATGAGTCATCACAATGGAATGCAGGGCATCAACCAATAGGCATGCAGCTTTCCTCTATACTTCTTGCTGATTGGCTGTTGGGATTTAACTTGATTAACACCCGCACAGAGCATTTCCACCTGCACAGAGCATTTCTTGCTGATTGGCTGTTGGGATTTAACTTGATTAACACCTGCACAGAGCATTTCCATACTGACAGTATGTCTTTATTCAAGTGTTTTGGTAGGTATTTCAAGCTTTTCTGCTCCAGCATTGGAATGCGGGGCATGAACGTTTTTTATTTTATTTTGAAAATCAACAGTTTGCATTATGCAATTAAAAATCCTAACCAATAAAAGTTGGGAGGAATAGCTATCCAACTGTTGTTTTAGTTGTATGTTACTTCATATTATAGTTATATCAATGTAAACAGGGTTCTAGCTAGCGCTAAGTAGCGTCGGTGCCCGCGACGCTAAAATTTTGACCCGCTACGCCAATATATTTTCCCCCGCTACGCTAATTTTCAGTACAACGTAGCGGCATTGTGACTGCATTTCTTTGTTCAAAAATGCCAGATCAAATGTAAAAATGTTTTTTTAGCAAAGTAACGCACGTGGCGGCCCTCCCAGGAGAATGGGGCGTGCCTAGGCGGGGCCTTGGCTTCTTTACAACTTGTGTTGCCGCCCTTCTGTGAGTGACAGCGGCAGTCTCTTGACGCCCAGACACTGGCGTCAGGGTGTCTAGCCCAGTCTGTAGAAGGGATGTTCCGCCCCCTTCATAGTGTCGGCTTTCCCTCTGGGACGCCATATATGGGCTGGCCTATTTAACAATTCCCACGCCACGATGTATGTAGCACAAATATGTTTCCTCCCGTGTTCAACAGATCTCTCCTTGTAACTCTGGACATAAACACCTTCCACTAAATTGCATTAATTCTATATCTTGCCAAGGTGAAAAAAATACAAAGAGTTACAATGTACTTAGTCACCAGCCTAATAATTAAAGTGCTTTACAGTTCCAGCCGGCTCCCGAAAAGGGGAGGGGCCTCTAAAGCCCACAGCGGCAAACTTGCGTTGGTTGAAAATTTGCCACTTTAGTAAACTAAACAAGGGAGTTCACCCCTTGGATCCGTTCATAGTTTAAACAAGTAAATACAAATTATTGCTCTCTTGTCTTTTGCCGTTTTTCTTTACGGGCGTTTGTGATCTTTGTGACACGTGGGTTTTCCTGCCACATATGCGTCAGTGCTGGTGCCATGCCGATTTCATGCTCTTAGCTACTGTGCGATCTATGTCGACATACTGGGTGTGCCTGTAATCATGTCAGCATCAAAGCTTGGCAATAACAACAAAGCCACGTGTTGAATCACGTCAAATTTCGGCCCAGTTTTGCAGAACAGAAATGGCACAAAGGAGATTAAAAGTGCCTCATAATGAGACACTATTAGCAGGCAAAACAGACGTATTTCTTATATTATTTATAGTTACTTTTTTTGCATGTAGAATATTACAACTTTGCACACCAGATGCTATGTTTAACATTTAATTTATCTCAGAGTCTGTTCTTGGTTGTGTCTGATTTGGAGTATCTTCTCTATTTTGTGAAGATTCCAAGCTGTAAAAATATAAAAATTACTAATCAAGGATACATTGTACATACCTTAGAAATGACATTTTTTCCCTTTGGGTATCCCTCAAATGGCTGCTTTTTAAGCTTAAATTTTTAAAAGCTCCGCACCGCGGAAGGGGGGGCACATCCCCCCTTCCGCCCCATCCCCCCTCTCGGTCGCTTCGCTCCCTCGACGTGCGTCAGGTACCACTACGCTAGAATAAAATCCTAGCTAGAACCCTGGTAAATCATTGTTTTCCCTTGTGTTTCTCATTCTTTCCCTGCCATGTGGTAAAATGTGGTGAACCCATCGCTGTATTTGCTCCAAAGCAAATATTGGCCTTTCTAGTCTTTTCCTAAACTTTCTACATGCCAATAGTGACAATCCAAATGTACATGTGTATGTAGTATAGCATAGCTAGATTTGAATCAAAGGCCTTATTATCACTTCTTTCAAAGAAAAAAAAAACATTTTTTTGCATACGATTTTGTTGTGCAAAATCACAACGGCGGCAATCGACAGCATTTTATAAAAGCACTTGTTTCAGTTGTGCACTGTACTTCCTCTGCTACACAACTGAGTCTGCTAGAACTTTAGCCAAACTGTACAATTATAATTTACTAGATCAACCCATAACTGTTTGTGACTTTTGTTCTGTTATTTACATAATGTACCTGTCAGCAGTTGTTAGATTTAAATCGTCTACACTGTGTAAAAGAACTCAAGTTCATAATGGTCATTGTTGCCCATGAAATTCCAACAACTCTATGGTACACTACACAATTCTTGTATGTATGGAAAAGACTGTCAACAAAATCATGATTTCACAATATATTCACCCCATGAACACATTTGGAAAGTTAGATATACCACTAGAAATGTACCATTTGCAAGCAAATGCAATATGTTTACCTCAGGGTGGTCTTGCCTACGATTTAACGTTATACCTTTATTGGGAAAGGATGGGTAGAAGGATATTTTGCTTATATTACTGACTTTGATGTAATGTTACTATATAGAGTAACATTAACTTTATAACTGGGGGATTTGAATGTTTTTGCCCTTGTAAGGCTAAGGACGAAGTTTAAAATCTACCCGTCTGCCACTCAAATATCATTACCATTGACTAGTCTTTAAGCGTCATGTATAGATATAATTATTATACAATTAATTATATCTCTTATCTCTTATTTTAAGAGATATAATTAATTGTAATGTCACATACCACAGTACCACTGATTCACTCAGCACACTCTCCCACTATATTTGAAATTTGGCCACAGCATGTAAACTTAATTATTGACATCCTCTGCAGACTCCAAGTAAACTTCAAATCTTTCTGACAGCTTTAATTAAAATGACTTTGTTGCGCTCATCTCACAACCTTATTACATTTTTGTAAATAGAAAGTAGGACATAGGCTGAAATAATAATGATGATAAGTTTATTATTATTACATGACAGAAGGCTAATTGTGAGTACGTATATCATATACATATGATGATATCTTTATACTACAGTACGATATATATCAAGCCAGTTTTGTTGGGTTTTACTTGTTCTTTTGATTGCCGAGCCAGTGAATTTACCCACTTCTAAAAAAGTGTTCTTTGAAATCAATCAATAAAAAATTAATGAAAATCTTTGAAATCAATGATAATGAAAATCTACAGTTGTGTAAAATTTTGACAACTACACACTCTATAAAACCAGACATACAATCTTAAAAAGCTATAACTGTGTTACATGACTTACATATATTATGCAACTTAACATACATAATAAATATTTACTGGCCAAATTGGAGATATAATGTTTTTCCAGAAATAGTTGCGATGTGCTGTATCCTTCTAGTGGATGGTCGGGTTCATCTCTGCTAAGTTCCTCTCCAGTTTCTCATAGACCAAGTACTTTTTTTCTGTCCTAGATAGGTCCAATCTAGAGCATACAAACGATTTCAAAAGTGAGCAGAGACTGATAATGTCTGCATATATATAACCGCTGAAAAATAATTCGCAAGCGCGAGATTCGGCGGGCACAGATTGAAAATAAAACAAGAGTTCTGAGATCTCATACCTCCATGAAATATGGGCTTGACGTGTCAATGTAAATTTCCTCTTTATTTATGCAAATGACCTCCACATTAACATAATAAATGCATCGTGATGTTAACTTTTGATTAACTTACACATGTACCAAGTATGAAATCCCCATCATTCACCCTTAGAATTTTCGTATTTATTTTGCAAATGAGGTCATAATTTGCATAATTGGTATCTGTTGATGTTCCATCTGCCAAAGATTACATACGTTACATGTATGAAAGTACTAAAATGTAAAACACTGTAATTATAGAATTTCCTTATTAATTATGCAAATGAAGACCTCATTAGCATAATTTGCATTTAATTATGTACATCTCTCTCTTAGCTACCTACCTACCAAACATGATGAAAATACATTGTTCCTATCTGGACTTATTGGCTTTTCAAGATTTCCCCCCGAAAGTCCCCTGCAGTTCCAGAACAAGCTGCTAGGGGGACCAAACCCACACCACTTATTCCTGACAGGACAATCTATCTTCTTACTTACATCTTACATCATCCCCAGGTAGGCTTAGTGCCTGTCAGCTCAGAGCGTCGTTTCCATTCCTTCCGGTCTAGGAAGACTCCTTCCTCTTCTAGCCTTTCTAACCTCCCAATCCTGCGGTGTGTCAGCATTTCTTGCACAGTCTATCAGTCACTCAAAAATCAAGACCATAGCATGTTCAGGACAAAAGATACAAAAACCGGAAGTTCTGCTGCAATACCAAGGTCATCCACCAGGAGGCCCATATTTAACCTTGACCTTTGGCTTC